TTGTTATTTTCTCGCCTGGTCCATTATACTCCTGCTATGAGTGAAACCATCCGGTATTTTTCTTTCTCTTTCTGGCTTATCTCACTAAGCATGATCTGTAAAGATAGACTTTTAACCAGGTGGACGTGGGCTTGTTGATGTGTGTTAATTTTACTTTTGAAACTACTTTGAAGATACTTTTCTTCCCAAGTTTGTAATTTCACTCTATATATGTAGTAGCTTTAGGCTTAGTTACAAATATTGAAGTATCAAATATAATGCAAATTACAACTTTAGATTTTGTTGTTCACCTGGAGATACATAAAATCTTAGAGTAAACCCCTTTTTCTCATAGAAACGGAAGGCTTCAAAATTGACACTATGGGCACCTACCACGGCATGACACTGAAGTCTGTAACGGTAAGTTACTTTGCGTTTTTTTTTCTTTTCCCCTGGACTTTTTTATGTGAGTAGCGGATATTGAAGACAATCTTTGTTTTTCCATTTTTTTTCTATTTCAAACATTTTTTGAAATGTTTGAGTAACCGATTGTGCTGATAGATCTGTGAAGCGATTATTTCTTTCATGGGTGTCCCTTTTGTAAAAAAAGAAATCTGAACTGAGTATAAATATTGTTTTGGTTAATAATTTGCATGTAGGATGGCTGCTGTCTGGTTAGACCACGGATGTCTAGAAGAGAGTTGTAAGAGGTCTGTGCCATAAGATCTTGTATGTTTTTAAAAATGTCATGTCTCAGCTCTTTTAAATTACAGTTGTGGTGGTTAATATAATACTTAAAAAGTAAATACTTCACAGAACCAAGTTCTTGGATATCCATGATTTCAAACCTTTGGTTCACTTTCAGAGTACTTTCACTTTTTCACCCCCTGAAAATCATGGGATTATAAAGATTTTCTGATCAAACCAAATTAACACTTTGTTTAATTAATGTTGGGACTTACCAGGATTTCTGTAAATCTCATTTTAACATTGTATTTTTAACATACTCATTTTGTATGTATATTATAAAGCATTTTACCTTTTAGACTTTAAAACATGTGTGTGTGGGTATAAGCTATATGTAAACATTCCTAGATATTTAAAACACTAATGCCAAACTTACTTTTGTGTTTGTGAATAATCAACTCTTGTAGAATTCAATATGACACCATTATGTATTGGCTGTGATTTTTTTTTTCCCAGAGGAGATATCTTATATACTTATTTTTGAAAGTAGATAGCAGTTAAATAAGACTATTAATATTAATAACATGCTTTTCTTCTGGGTGTCAAATTGAAATTATTAGATATTTTACTAATAAATTTGTTTTTAAGTTGTCATGATACTTGTTTAAAGTTACATATAAACATTAATTTATTCAACAAGTGTTTATTTACTACTTTTGTCATACCTTCTCTGGTTGCTGGAAATATAGCTGTATTGAATAAAACAGATAATGCTTCTTCAGGGAGCATAATCAGAGAAGCTTCTGAGATGTTGACAGTTGAATAGAGAGACTTGAGAGAAGAACATGCTATGAAAGACAATGTAGGAGTCTATAAATTGAGGCCCAAGACAACAACAGCAGGAAAGCTAGTGTCTTCACAGTTTGCTGAATGAAGGGAAAGTGGTAAAAGATTAGGTATATCATGAGGTTTGCTTAGTTCTTCCTAATTCCAGAATATAAATCACAGCTAAAAGATTTAACTTGAATTGTTAAAATTGATTTTCTGACCTTTTTGCAGGGGAGATATCAGAACTTGCTTATCACTGAATTGTTATGGAACTGCAGTTGTTACACTTCAAAATAAGGATAGCCATAACAATGAAATTTTTGTGGTTATTATTGTCATTTTTTTAGTCTCATATGAAATTGGTTTCATTATTAAGCTTGTGTGTAAATAGCAAGTCTGTTAAGTTTATGCTTTTTACAAAACAGTTTTTCTAAATGCCAGGGATAGCTGGCTTCCTCACCAAAAACGTTGCTTCTAAATGGACTTAGAGGGTAGGTGAATTTAAACAAATTTTGGTGTGTGATTTTGTAGAAATAATCACAAAAAGGTATTGTAAAGAAGTATAGTAGACACAAAATTGTCAAATTGCTAGTACTTCTAGCAATTCAGTACCCAGTTTGAATTTCTGTGCTGTGACCTGATTTATTTTACCAATTGTAAGAAAATACGGAGAACCTTGAATTTGAAAGCATTGAAGTTACTCTAATATTAGTTGAACCGCAATTGTATTTTTCCAAGTTAATGTTTTTTGTCTTCTATTTAAAAAATTTTTTTCAAAGTGCTAAAGAAATTTCATTAAATACATCTAAATCTACAGGTAGATCTAGATCTAGATATATGTGTGTGTGTATATATATATATATATATATATATAGATAGATAGATAGATAGATAGATAGATAGATATATTTATTTTCGTACATCTTGGGGCATTTTTGTATAGTTACTGTTCCCCTTAAGGTGTGTCCTTCTCACCAGTAACCCACCCACATTCCACCACCCAGCTCTTCATGTCTCTCATCTCCTGTTTGGTTTTTCCCACTCCTCCCTTGCTATTAAGACAGGGATCTATTGTCAGCCAATGCCCTTGTGTTTTTCCTGGAATCTTGTCCTTTTACTGGGTGAGGACTTGGGCTCCTGGACCGCAGCAGACCAGGCTGCTTAAATCCCCAGGAGCAACAGTGAGGCAGGTAGACATTCAGGAACCTCTTGGAAGGTAGGTGTGTGAGTGGTTCTCAGGATGCTTTGATTTTGGAACTTTCTGTGGTATGGGAGACTATCCCATTTTGCCCTGACAAATGTGGTTTCTGTTTGTTTTTTTTGTTTGTTTCTGTTTGCTTTAGATAATTATTTATGAGCATGTGAGTTTCACCAGCTTTTTGCCTTAATCTCCAGATAAGAAAGTTTCTCGCAAAATAAGCACTCAGGCTTTCAAAGTAGTTAAAAATGTATGTTAAAGGCTTTGTTACACAGATGTGACTTCCTTTCTGATTTGTGTTGAGCTTATTTTTGCTATGATTGTTCTTTAGAATTTTGACATGCCTAGGTGATAATTACTGAAGTTGGGATCAATTTATATTAGTATTGATATGCATATCTTTAAATTTTAAGACTGCAGAGTTCTGTTAAATGTGCTAAATTAACTTCATGCAAAAGGTCAGCTGACTTTATATATGTAAATTTTTCGTGTATTTGTTAGAGGGAAGAGGGCAATATGTCTTTTGTTAATACTGAAATGAAACAAACTGAGGGGATGAGAATAACCTTGTTGGTGGGTCCTCACCTGTGTAATTTTAATGGCAAGATGCAAGTGAAAAGCAGATATAACTAGGAGAAACAACAGGATTTAGTTACATAGGAATGAGAAAAGGGAGAGCTAAGAGAGAGCATGTGCACATGTGCAAAAGAAATTGAATTTATTGGTTAGTTTGTGACTAAATGGCATCTGTCATACTCCAGATAGCTACCCTTGAGCAAAGACCAGGATCCAAGGTGAAGCTGCACATGGCAAGCTGTTGGTTTTTCCAGACATCCCTCTTCAGCTGTCAACAGTTTTATTGAGGAAGCCCCAGCGATTTGGCATTGAGACTACCAACGTCTTAGCAGCTTCACTGCCAAAGCACCATTTCTGCTCCTCTATTCCATTAGTAACCCAACTCATGTCAGGGGGTGGATTCTGGAAAGCTCCACCTTCTGTGATCAACTTGACTATGGGTGCCACCCACTGAAAGATCGCTTCTCATTGTTCATCTTAAAATTTTTTGTGCTGTAAGTTACTGAAATGTATAAAAATTAAGTCCAGTATATTTTGGTTCTGTTTTAAAAAGTAGTTTATTGGGATTTATTATAGTAACAGAAGTCATATAGCTGTGATATTGCAAGATTGTATAGTTGGTTTCTGGTTAACTTTTGAGGTAAGCTGAGAAACAGATTTCACAGTGAATGTTCCAGAGGCACAGGATTTCTCCTAGTTGGGCTCTGTGTATAAAAAAATAGAAGGTTAAGCATTTTGTAGTACAGAAATTTCATCATTCTTGATACTCTATGTAAATGGAAGGACTGTTCCTTCTTCCTCAACCTTGTTTACCCCAAGTTTGCCCCTCTTGTTAAGAACATTGGAAAGACTTTATAGTGTTGTATAAATAGTTTTAGTAATGCTGTCTTAGGCATTTGAGTTGGTAATAAATGCCATTCACTGGAGAAAAGTGCAATATGTTTTCATATATTCCTTTTGTGAAAGAGGTGTCTTAGACTAAGCAAATGTCACAGGACAGTCCTTTTCATTGTATAGTAAACAGATTCTGAAGACCTTTCATTGCGGAGTGGAGCCTATCTGGTTCCACAGGAGAGGGAATAAGAAGATATGATCACATTTCATGCATGAGTTTGTAAGGATTAGGTAATTATATTGAGAATTATTTTATTTTACTCCCTCAGTCTAGCATGTTTAAGTGAAAAGGTCACATCTTTTGGCCCTTGTATATTCTTCTTGAATACTATTGACTCTTCAATTACCTTGCTGTCTTCAGTCTTTGAGGAAATTGACTTCAGACATGTTTTTACTATATCTTACATGTCTTGATAGTTAGCAAATTTGCGTGATTTTGAGTATCTGTAATGTAAAATATTATCATCAGCTTTCACTTTCCAGAAAGCTTTAGAAACTCTTTCCTTGAAATTATTTTCTTTGGAGGAGTGTATATGTATTAACCTCCCTGCTCCTGCCTTCTGTTTTATAAAGTTTCCTTCATTTTCATTTGGTTGTTGATTAACTTGTTTATCACTGCCTGAAGGGTTATGGGAATACTCTAGTAGTGGTAATGTTCTGGGGTTGTCTCCAGAATCCAGGCTACCAGAAGATGGAGACAATTAACTTAAAACTTTGTTTATTTAGACTCCTCCTCCTCCTCTTCTTCTTCTTCTTCTTCTTTTTTTTTTAAGATTTATGTATTTATGCTTATAGAATGGGGGTACAGGCCAGAGGTGTGGTGGATGAGAAGATTCTCCAGAGACAGAACAGGCAGAGCTACTGAAATATACTGCGGAGGACAACAGCAAGTGGGTCAGGAGAGGTTTGCTGTGCCATGTGGGTCAACTTTGGCCAGGGGTTGAATTCATGCTGCAGTGCCTTTGGGAAGAGCTTTATAGTGTGGTGTTTTAACCGATTATGCCACCAGGGAGAGCCCTATTTTGACACTTTCTTCCTTCCCTCCTTTTCTTCCAGGACTTGTTGAGTCCTTGTTTGTGTGCCTTGCAGTTTGCTAAGTGCTGGGACATCAAAGATGAACAAAACACAAACGTTCTCATGGACTCATGTCTGATGGCAAAGATATACATTAGTCAACCAGTAAAATATAAAATTATAAAGGTGTCATATGTATAGAGCTCCTTCATGCCATGAGAAC